AAGTCCAGCACCGTGGTCCACCTCACAGACGGTCCCAGGTTCTGCTCCCCAGATTAGACACATCTGTAAGAGTCTCAGAAGACAAAACAAACACATATTTTCACTTTTAACGCCAGAGATGTTTAAAATCTGCCCGAAACAGCTGCTTTGCTCAAGTTCACTAATAAATAAATAAATAAATAAATAAATAAATAAAACGGCAGGCTCATTTTAAACTAAGTTGTTGGGATTTTTACTGATTTAAGCTTTGGAGACGATTAATCCTTTGCTGCCGCTACGACATGAATGTGAACAGTCTGGCATAATGGTTGATAAAATCACTTGTTAAAGTTATTTGGACAACAAGTTTCAATATGTGCAAAACAACCGTACAAAAGAATAACCTGAGGTGTTCCACAAGGCTCTACATCCAGACCCAAACATTTATAATGGCTTTATATGGTAAAAACGCCAAAATTTGGAGATAACTCCAATTTATTTAGCTCAGGAGTAAATACAACAACAACAACAACAACAACAACAACAACAACAACAACAACAACAACAAAGTTAAAACAAGGCTTGATAGTGAATGGATTTCAGTTAAAAAAAAAAAAGTTTGCTGTTATCCCGTCAAGAAAATAAAACTAAATAAGTTGTTTGGTGGTTTTAGAAGTAAAGCTGATAAAACTGAAACTGAAGGAGTTTGTGAAACTTTTTAAAAATGTTTTATTATCTGTAAGAAATATATAAATTATAACAAAAAATAATTATTTAAATCAGTATTTTGTGTAAAGTTGGAGATGGATGTGAAATGTTTGTTAATCCTGCTCTTCTGTAAAGCCATATACGTCTAACTGTGTTGAAAGTTGTAGAAATAGTCATAAAAACTAATTTAGACCTAATTAAACTTAAAAAAAAAGTGCTTTTAGAATAAAACAAAGCCTCGTATATGGACCATAATTTGTTTATTCGCTCCAGACCATTCTAATTTAAAGATGCTGCAGGTTTTTCTGCAAGCAGCAAAGTTCTGTTCAAAGTTTGTTGAATTTGGAGGAAAATATTATAATATACGAAGGATTTTTAACGTTTGGAAGCTGCTCAGTTAGAACAAATGTAAAATATAAATGTGTTTCTGCTCTGGGAGTCATATGGATACGCAGCGAGTTAACTAAGAAATCAGAGCTTTTAGGGTCAAACAAAAACATTAATAACCCAAGTTATTAATTAATTATTATTTAAAACGATTGTAACGTTTTTAAAATATTAGGTCTTTCTTATTTTCCATACTGAGCAATTTTTCTTTAATTGACATAAGATTTGTGCAAATAAGCTTTAGTTTAGCCAACTTTGTTTTGGTCATTTTATATGGTCAATTAAGTGATTTAAAAAAATCAAGATGAACTAGTGTTTAATGCACTAAAAAGTGTCTAAAATGAACTAACCTGCAGCAGAAGCTGCCTCGAGTTCAGAAGATCACCTGTGAGTTGGACCTTCCTCTCAGAACCATTCACCTGGATATTAAATATAATTATTACCGGATCAAAGCAGAGAGAGGCTCCTCATCCCTAACAGCTGGCCGCTTCTGCCTCCATCCTCTTTGTTTCACTTCTTTCAAACATTCACCGGAGCAGAGGCTCAGCGGCGGGATGGCGCTGCCTCCAAGCGCGGGCAGGAAACACCAAACAGCAGATAAGTACAGACGCTGCTGAGGGCTCCGTGCGGCTCCTCCTGCGCTCCTCTTCCTTCCAGTTTGCTGCCTCTCTGCTCCGAGGTTCAGTCCGGTCGGTGACCCGCTTCACGCTCACTCTGCTGGCCGGAGCCGCAGCGGCGCGGCGCGCTCTGCTGCCCCCTGCCGGATGAACAGAGAACTGCAGCACCAACGAGTATTACTGTTCCTCTCAGCAGTTTACTGGAACACATATAAACATAATACATGTCCCTCAATTTCATAAAGTGAAAAAAAAACCCTCATTAATAAAGCAAAATATTAATAAACTGCCAGATATTAGTGTTTCCACATATTTCTGTACACTCAAATAACAAGTTCCTAGCTTCTGCCGTTAGCTTACAACTGACAAACTGACACACACAAATGTTGTGTCTAAAATCTCATGAAACAAGAAAAACGCTTCTAAAGTTCATAAAAATAAACGATTACCTATAAAAGCTAATTAATAAACCAAACTAGCTATATAGAAATAGCTAAATGTCAGCGTTATAACATGCTTCACATAAAAATGACAGTTAGCGCAGCTTTAAGCTTCTACCTTAGCTAAACAGACGCACAGAAATGCTACATCAAACTATTAAAAAAACTTTAAAAAAATGCTTTTTAAGTTTACAAAGTAATAAATAATTGTCTCTAAAATATCTTAATGTACAGGATACAAATATACATTTCAATCAGCATTACCTGTAAATAGGGGAGAAAGAAGCACGAGAGTGATTTTAAGTTGTTTTCTCTCAGCAGTTTAATGGACTGAGAGGAGAACGCCCCCTGGTGGTGGATGTGGCACTTCGCGCCCCCTGGTGGTGGAT